CATCCCATTTTTAACATGGAAGTCAATGGAGAAATCTTCAGACTTCAACAATCTTCATGCAACTTCAACTGCTAACTGCTCCTTCTTCAACTGCTAACTGCTTCTTCATACCTTCACTCAAAAACCTCATTCCAACTTTAAAATGTCACACATCTTTCTGACATTATTCGTGTAACACAACTTTTAAATCTGATTCTTACTTTTACAGATATTAAACATTGACGTGCTGGACGCAAACGGCCAAACTTCGCTTGTATATCAACGATCCATGCCTCAACAGCTTTACGCCAAATCTAAGATCTCATCATAGGCTGTTGCCATGGGAACGCATCCCTTGCCATAAAACACGATGTTGCTCTAGCTCCAATGGACACGGTCAGGTCGTCCCACAATCTTCACTTGTATATCACCTCTCCATGCCTCAACAGCTCTACGTCAAATCTGACATCTCACCATATGCCGTTTCCATGGAAACGCATCCCTCGCCATAAAACACGATGTTGTCGTAACGCCTATGAAAAGGGTAAAAACAGCACCACACTTCAGATAATGGTTAACGGTCCAGCCCTCAACAGCTCTACGTCAATTATGGGGTTTCATCATATGCCGTTTCCATCTAAACGCATCCCTCGCCATAAAAGAAGATGTCGCTATAACTCCTTTGAGAATGTTCAAAAAGTGCTCAAACTTCACATGTGTGCTAACAGTCCAGCCGTGAAGACATCTACGGGACAGTTTTGAGATTTCTTCAAATACCGTTGCCATGGCAACACAATGTTCACCATGAAACAAGGTTTTCTCATAACTTCAGTGAAAATGCTCCAAATGGCCCAAAACTTCACAGGTTTGGTAACGACGCAGCCATTAACGCATCTAAGCATATTATGGGATGTCACCAAATGCCGCTGGCATGGCGACAGATCATTCACCATCAAGTTAGTTCAAAAGTTTGCAGTTCAAATCTTCTGCTGCTTTTCCAAGCCTTTTCACTTTCTTTTCTTCTCTCATCACACATTCAAGCTCCCAGTGTTCATGTATAATTTCAATCTAAATTCTTCAATTTCTTCTTACACATTACATTTCAGCATAGCAGTTTAGCGTCAGCTTTTCAGCATAAAGCATTCCCACTAGCAATTTCTTCAGGAATTGCATTCTCTAGTTCAAATTGAAATTGCAGGCACAGTATGGTGGAGAGTTTGAAGGCCTTGGACTCCATGATGTTGTTTTGAGCCTCATGCTCCTTGAAAGACAACACTTTGTAAAGGGTCCTCAGGTAGAGGTAATCCGAGAGCAATACAAGAGGAGCTTTAACAACGGTTTGGTATAGCCTTCACATGTAGTAAAATCACAAGAGTCCACTCTAGGCGCAGGCTTGGGACTGAGTGCACACAGTCAAAGGTTTGGTGGCTAGAACCCCTTAGGCTCAGGAACAGCCTAATTACTTTGATTAATAATCCAGCATCGGTGTAGCCGCTGATTGTTCATTCCTTTCTCAATGGGTCATTCTTTGAAACACAGCATTTCGTTTAACTGGGAGTGGATGAGGAGTCCCTGTCCTCTGAGCATCTGTTCAGTGCAGCACTATATGTTCCAGACACCTCCAAACTACTTGTGCAAAAGACTGTTTTCATATCTCAGTGACATTTGAATGGGGACTCTAATGCTGATATAGACTAGTTTCAAGTTTCAAGGCTTTTATTGTCATGTGTGCATAGCTACAGTGTAGTTATGACAATTAAAATCTTAGATCACAGGCTCATCCAACAGTGCAACACAATACAACAGATAAAAATAGTACAAGTAAATACAATTACATAGAACATAATAGAAACAGAATATAATATAAACAGTGCAGAGGAGTCTATACTGTATGTAATTGCAACATTGATATATGAGTTGCAAACAGATGAATGTTATGTACGTTCTTTCAAAGGTTCAGGTGTTTTTTCTCCCATTTTCAATGCAGGAAAATACAACCCCCAAAATTAAGAGGCTGATAAAGAGAGAAAAACACTAATCACTGAAACATGAATGTTCAGAGTCCCCCAGTGAGGGGTGTGTTGGTTTACAGGGTTGAGAAGTTCACTGCATAAAATTGTTGAAAGTAGATAATTTATTAGTGACTGCTCAAAACTCTCAGTTGGAAGTGCGATGGTTTGTGATGACAATATTTTTGTTAAAAATAAAAGCTATTTATTGAGTTTCGGAAGCGGTGTTAATGAGTGATATGAATTATTCAAATACTTAAGAAAGCAAGAAATAATAGGACTCAAAAAATCTAAATGATTTGTCTGGTACATGACACACAAATGAGAATAGAACATTCCAGTCAGGTAGATAACTACTTCTAGTATTATTACTCATATTGAATAATTTCAGTTATTTTACAGTTTCTGATCTGTTCTGTGAACCAGAAATCAGTTAACCTGGTTATATCAGTTTATCCACATTCTCACTATACATTTTCAAACACCAGTGAGATGAAACACCCTGCACACACAGACTTGAATATAAAACACAATTAAATATAATCACAAAAGTATGCGCTTAAACCATTCAGCCAGCTAATGTTATACTAGCAAATATTAAACAATGTTCATCAGCAAAACCTGGTGAATCCTGGTATACATCTGGCCATCATTATCCCAAACATCATCAGCATTTAATAGTTATTGGTCTCAGCTGCAGTGATGCATGCTGGATCACATAGAGATGTTATGACCCCATAACCTTTAGCTGATGACCAAAACATAAAAGGTTGCAGATACAAAAAGCTACAGGACTCTCCAAAGGTGGTTAGTCTCTCTCTGAGATATTGTGAAAAGTTATATTAATCACAAATGATCTCAAAGCTGCATAATTGCCTTTTCCTAAAAGTTGTAGCGTTGAGGTGTTTCAGTTACCTGGTAAGAATGTGGCACTCTCCAAGGTGCTGATTAAGCATCTGTCCTTTTAATGACCCGTTTAACAATTAGATCACATGAGTTATTCCTCTTGGTTTTCCAGTGTTCAGTGTGCCTTCGCCTGATAATGCATTCGTTAGCTACTAATATGGTTTGACTGTTTGAATCTTTATGCACTGTAAAGCGATTTCCAAAGATGTAGTTTAATCACCTTGATTGATGAAGTGTTGACTGTTTTGCAAAGGAATGTTTGTGGTTTTGCCAAGATAATAGAAACAAATGTCTGCATCATCAGTCTCCTGCATTTTAACATTGTTACTTTTTTTACACCGTCTTATGGAGGAGTGCTGGGTATGACCAGCTGGAAGGAGACCCCAAGATAAACTCAGAACACAGAGGAGGGTTTGTACATCTCTGACAATGTTGGCAATGCAATGGTACTGAAAATAAAACATGCACAAATTGTTTGACAAATGGTGTGCGCAGGCAGCATTTAATGCAGCCCATATGCACACATATAGATGTTCTGGAGTACAAGTAGTGTAGTTAGGCAACTTGACTGAGAATATACCATTAAATTAATTTTTCATTGTATCAAACATTTCCATTTGGATGAAACGTCCCTTGAGTTTCAAAGTTGGATACGTTAATTAACTGTGTCCAGTTAAAAAAGGATCAAAAAGTAGAGCAGAGAATATTTTGGGAGTGGTAGGATGGCTAAGAGTAGACTCACCACTCACAGCATAAGACATTAGTACCTTGTATTTTGTGAACAAAAGCATTTGACCATTTGTAACATATCATACAAATGATTACGCTTCAATCATTTTATAATTGTATTTTACAAATTCAACATTGTTATTTTTGGCTCATAGGAGATACACAAACTGATTCTGTGGTTAATAGAAATTACATAATTCAACATGAATATACAATCTTAAATAATAACAGACTTTCCAAAAATAATTGATGTCATAAAAGCATTGGATTTGGTTATTTGATACAAAATCGTCCAGTGCGTGGTCACTCTCTGTAACAAGTATCTTTAAAGCACCTCTGAAAATGTGATATCCCCATATCAATAGGAACAAAGTGATATATATAATAATACATACAATTTAGCTGACGCTACAATAAATAAGATGCATCGGTTTCAATGGGGAATGTCTTTAAGCGCTAAATATATGTTTTCTTTTTTATTTAATTGTCAAGGTACAAGCAAAACATGTGGGATTTCCCTTTTCCATGGCAGATATGTATATACTTGATTGAGAACATTTTAAAGCAATTGTAATTTCCTGCCCCAGATGAGGGAGAAAGAAGCACCGTGTTTATATAGCCCAACCCCTAGTCTATACTAATCCATCAATAATCAATCATGATGGCACGTGATGGCAGCCATGTTAATCCACTGATGATCTACCTACCCTGTATCAAGCTTGCAAAATCAATAAAGCCATGAAAGCTTTGCCTTCTGGTCTTCCACACATCATTTAAATTATCTGGTTAATACAGTTTGATACCATACAACTGTTGTTTGCTTTGATGTCAGATGAATGAGAAGAAGAAAAAAAGAAACTGTCAGCATTTACATTTTCTGAATTCAGGAAAATCCCCATCACTGGATCATACCATAAGACAATTAAATTATGTTAAGGAGCTTGGATGTCATATTTAGACACAAACATTAGGTGAACAAGACATATACACATGTTGTTTGCAATAAGGCTAAATAAGCATTTAGACTTATTGCATAATTTCCCCACATTTTTCCTCATGGTTTTAAAGATTTTCCATTTGAAACTGAGTGTGTATACTATACCTGAGAATAACATAACACAGTCTGTTAAAACAGATTGTATTACATTCCACAGTTAACCCACCTTCCTACATAAGTAACCTATTTGTTCAAATGTATGTATTGATTTATTTCCAAAACGTCCCTGTTGGTCTATGTGCCGACCTGCAGCCACTACCAAAACGGATGAGACTGGACTCCACTCCACATTTTGTGTCCCTCTCTGGCTCCTCAGTGTATCTGATGTGAACACAGCGCTCCTCTCCACAGCAGTTCCACTTCAGCTCAGCAATCAGCGGCTTCGTCTGCTCAGCGAAGTTGAGTCAACACGCTGGGAATCGCTCTGCCTGGATTCATGTGGCACCTCCACATCTTTTCTTAAAAGGGACTTTTTCTGTCATTCTCTGATAGAAACCCGTTTTGCTTGAAATGTGTTGTTAGATACTAATAGTTGAGTTGCAACCATTAACCGCCCAGTCATTAAGTACCTGCGGATCTACTGCAGGGGAGTTTTCACCAGCAAGGATACTGCAGAAAACCTTAAACAATAAGGATCTTCACAGAAGTGAACAATGCTCAGACTAGGGACCATCATTTGCACTTTTTCTGTGCTGGCTATTGCAGCAAGAGCAGATTTTAAGGCACGGAACTGTAGCGAGGTGCGGGAGGCTTGTATCGGGAAAGGCTTCAGTTTCGCACATGTTCCTCTTCAGGAGATCCCAGGTAAGTGGCACCAGTCAATGAGGCTAACGACCTGCTTAACAAGACAATATAAAATTGCTTTGTGAGAAAATAGAATGCTTAAAAAAAATATATACTTTGTTTTTATTATCAAGCTCCGTATGGTTTGTTAAAAATCCCACACTTTTAATATGCAAAGTGGCTTAATAAATACACCATTACTGTAGATATGTTGTTGGATGTTGAAACTGTAGCTGCATCAAACTAATCTGTCAAACAGCAGCCCAACCACCTGTCACTCACTAAGTTGCTGCAAATCAAACGGACGAAAGTTATATCAACATATTCTGCATTTACCTCCCTGGATGGTCACCAACAGCTGCTGCAGCCTCCTGCAACAAGCACCCATCTGGAAACTGACAGGCCTGCTGTAATCAGGAACACTCCTCATTTAACACGCCTGAACCCAGTTAAAAGCTGGTTTACTGATTGTATATCCATCCTGCCATAACAATATATCATCAGGTGCATCAATACTGAATGTGTGAAGAGTGAGTGCCCCAGGCAGCTGTGGGAAAGATCTGTGTCCAGTAGAGGTCTGCGACTGTACTAACCAAGCAGAGATAATGAATGATCAACTGTGCAGATTAACTCCTGTCTGGCGAAAATTAAGTGATAAGGTGAAGTGGAACTGCTGGCTCTTGCAGTCCTTAATCATGAGTCAACTACATCATTACAGCCACTACTACCCTTTGGAGCAGTTATTTTAAATGACTTACATAATAAATGTCCTATTAGCGTATTAAATGGACAGAGTTAATACATAAAACGACACCATTTTAATAATGTCTAGTTAGAGCACCTACTGACTTGGGAACCGAAGTAACCTTTTTAAAAGAGAGAAATTCTCAATTCATGCATATACATTTTATTTTAGCATTTCAGATCATTTCAAAATATGTCAGTCACTCCATTCAAAAATATTATTGTGTGATTTCACATGATCAGTCAAAGTCATATTTTTCTTATCATGTTAATGTGTGCAGCTGTAGAAAAGTAATTACTCCAGCTGAGTTGTCTCTCAGGTTGACATTGTTGTGCTTCAGGGCCAATCATTCTCTCTATAAAGCAGGAAATCTGGCACATGTAAAATGCTGCATATTTGATAACAGGCACACCTGTTCAGAGCTGGGTTGAATAACCTACTGATTAAATCCTTTGGATCTGAGTCTCTGACATCACAATTAATCTCCTAAATGAGTGAAAAATTCAATCTCTCTCATCTCCGAGCGTTGTCACCCTGAATAAACGTCTTTTGATGTGGTCTTTGAATGAGTCATAACCTTACGTGTCTGCAGGAGAGACAACGCATTATCAACACCTCAGCAAATTCACACAGTGATGGGCATGCCCTTCAGCCGTGGGACTTATTGCCTCTCACTCATGCAAACAATAATCGAGGTGAGACCTACCTTAGCTAAGGTAAAGGTTGAGATACCTTTTATTTAAAAAGTAGCAGAAGCTGAACTACATTTTCACTTTTCAAACTCTGGAGACTAATATAATGTTGAATTGGTTTTGAATTGTATCATGGATGGTACTTTTCTGTGCTATTTCCAATGGGTCTATTGAGAATAGAGTAGTATTTTGTCAGTAGTCTATGCTTTAAATAAATCAGGCATTGCATATGTATGTTCTATTTCCAATTAAAGTGTACTTATACAATATACAAACAAAGATAACATACAGTTAAAAATTGTGTGTAGGACAAAAGCAGTTCATTTAATTGAGGTATATTGTTCACATTTTGCAGGTTTTACTGACAGACATAAACACTGCACACATATGGCAGATTACATTACACACAGATTCCTAATATAAGAAGTTTATTATGTGTCACCGAAGGGGTTAAGAGTCCATGTGGCAGATGGGCAGCATCCTTACTGATGACATTACCTGGAGTTAATATTCCAGCATGCTACTTGTAGATTAGTTGGCCCTCGTGGGACTCTGTGTAGAGAGCCTCTTAAAGCTTCCCGTATAGCTTATTGTTTCTGTCAGCCTTACAGCTGCCATCACACTCTATTAACTTACTGATGATTTGGCAAAAACGTCAACCTTCATGTTACTGGTCCACCTCTACAAACGATGGTTTGACTGCTGCCATATCCTTCATGTTGCTCTTTGGAGTTTGATTTCTTGATATCTCTGTCGTTATCCGAGACGCCAACATCAAATTGTAGTGACAACAGGATGTGTTTGTGTGTTCCTTTTTCTTTTTATATTAGAGACCTTATAAGACATGAACTTAGACAGAAACCACTCTCTATCCCTTTTGACGTTACCTACAGTTTAATCCCAGATATTTGGACTTATTCATTCAAGTAATTCCCATTATACTACTGTTAAATTATTATCACACTTACTATGTTAATGAATGATTGTTTTACTACGAGCTATTTGCCTTTGTCAGATGTTTCTTTTTATTCATTCATTGTTGCCTTTCACATTTTGATTACACCATATGTTTCTGGCTAATATGAAGCACTTATTACAACCATACAAATATAATGGAGAAAAAACAGCAGGGTTTTTGTACTCAGCGCCTTTACACTGCTCAGCCACTGAAACAATATGTTCTTTTTGAAGCTAAGAATGAAAGGCTTACAATCCCACACTCTGGGTCAAACAGAAGGAGCAGGTCAGGTGGAATGAAAGCAGTGGTCAGTGTTATTGACAGAAATGTTTTTAAGATCCAAAGCTTAAAGGCTCAGTTGGAACAGTAATTCCACAAGACTGAGGCGATGCTTCTGCCCGCTGACCAGGCCAGGCTGGAGGGTGTCAACAGCTTTGTGGTGAAGTCATTTTAAACCACGGGAGCATGATCTTTTGGATTGCTCAAGTGTTCACATATCTAAAACTGCCCAGAGCGTCTCCCCCTCCACTGCTGAACCATCCCTTTTAATTCTACTGTTAACAAGAGTGTCACATTTTTGCTTTTTAAATCTGCTTCTTTGCTCTGGGTAAAAATCAGACCTGCACCCTGCAGTCTAGCCCCAGCTGTCACCAAACGTCTGAGACGAGATGGAAAGATATGGGTAGGGAGTCACACTCCTGACTGCTGGATTCAGAAGAACTTCTTAGCATGTCATAGTCTATTGACGGCCGGCTCTGTTTACTCGCAGTCAGGAGATGGAGATGGGACAGAAATAACGGCGCTGATGTTTAATGTGATCCAGTGCTGCCTGCACAACATAGCAAATGATCTCTGCTGAAGCGTGTAATGTGCACAGGTTCTCTTCTGTCATGTAATGGGATGGAGAGGATTAAAAAGGGCTAAATGGGAGTGCCTGCAGAGGAAATGGCCGCGTGCCCTCACAGCATAGTGCTGCTGTGATGTATCGTCAGATTATTGTGACCTTCCTGCCACTCATTCATGTGGAGAGAGACCTGGCCAAAGACGGGGATCACAGCTTCTGATGGGTTTGTGGTGTGTCTATGTTTTTTAATTTCCCTCCACAAACATCAACATCTTTGCGATAGATTTTCCGATAATTGGACTTTTAGAAGCGTGACTTATTGTTTGAGTTTGTAGCCTATTTTGTAGCGCCAGTATTTCAGGCTGCATTCTTCTATATAAAGTAATGTGAATGTGTCCTGCTGAGAAGCAGGGGGGGGCACTATCAGGGAGGAAGAATCCAAACAATCATCATTTTTTTCCGGCGGCAGAGGGGATTTCTCAAACGCTGCTTCCATCTCTGTGTCATCAATCATGTTCATGAATGCTAGAATGGCCTCATGATGGGCTCTCTCTGCAGGTGTTCCCTCTGAGAGCGGTAGGAGACGTTGTGTAGAAGGGTTTTAGGGTTGAAGCTTTGGAATCAGAACAACACTCAGCACTTAAAGAATATCAAAGCATAGAATATCCTATCTCTGATCAAATACATTTTTTAATTTAAATTTGTTTTGACTTGTGTGGTACATTTATCAAATAGAACCATAAAATAGAGTTTCGTGCAGACATGTATTATGTCAAAGACCCTGAAAACTTATTTTCTTAGTAAGTTTCTCAATGTTAAGTATGCGTTCCAACATGGAAACAAACTTTCTGTCAACATTTTTCTTGATTTCACAAAATAAAAACATGTTTTTTCCCTTTCTATTTTTGTTGTTGCTTATGTTTCCAGCAAAAAATTAATTGTAATCCAACTTCAGGGTGCTGATTAAGCAATTTAACAAATAAGAGCTTCTGGGTGTTGAAAACTAATACATACAAAATATATGAATTTGAAGGTGTTTGTCCTAACTTAAAACTTCATTTTATTCAGACATTACACACAAGTGTATGGTGCTATCATTGTGAAGCTATAGTGCAGGTAACCTTTAGAGATGTGTAGTTTTGCTCTTGGGTTATACTTGATTTCATTAAATATCTTTATAAACACTGGGGACAGGAGTATTGGTTAACCTTTGGTAATGGTTGTCTTTTTTCATATTTGTTCCTACTTTTAGTACAGTATGTGTAGTACAAGTTAGTTTTAAGTCAACCTCGGCAGATATTTAGTGTCAGTTTTTGCATGGCCACATGACCACATGCATGAACACACTCATAAATCCAGGCATTAGCATATGTTATCTGACCAACAGTGCAAGACCCAAACTTTTTTATTCTGTCAGTCAGTTGGAAACTGACAGACTATGCTCTGGTGCTTTGTTTCGGCTTCTAAAAGCAAGATGCTGTGCATTTTGATGGATCTGGGTTTCCTTAGAAAAGGAGGGAAATTCATGTCCTCAGGGGTAGTCTTTTTTTTTTAACACACTAAAAGTCGTTTCTGGATAATATTCAAAACCATAATTTTGTTTGTGACCCAGGCTTTCTGTTTATGGTTTTTGTGTCCTTCAACAGGGTTTATGCCCAATTTTCTGTTGCTGGTTCTGAAACTTTAATAGAGCCGACACAGTTTAACAACAACATGGATTTTAGCTGGCAGTTATGAACTGCTGTATGTTTTCCTAATTCACAGACAATATTATATATATAT